AAAACTTTAGAGGAGACGGTGTAAAAGACATTTCAGTGAAAATCCCCGTCTGTCTGAGCCATGTGATGCAGGCAGGAGAGACAGAAGAGCTTACCGCACCGGTCATTAAGTTTTACCGCAATAAAAGCAAAGAGCTGCACTTTTAAAAGAGAGCATGATTAACTGGGACCGCACTGAAACACGCCTTGCACTAAGGGTTCGCTAATGTTAGCCTCCCGACTTAGCAGAGTGCTTTAAATGTAAACAGTGGGAGCATGAAACACAGCTTCAGGTAGCGAGTGATATTAGACTTTATTTTAAATCAAAATAATAGATATTTTGATTTCATGCTATAAAAATACATCCCTGAAGATATTAATTTCATTTGGACAAAATTTATGGCAGCCTCTTGCCTCCCTAACTACATATTTGTCTTTTTCAGAAAAAGGAAGGACAGAAGACGCTGAAGAGTTATAATTATTATGACATCATTAAAATGAAATATGCTATTTGGCATATAATTTACTGCTCATGCTATTTTTATATCTAAAAAAAAAAGGGATAATTCCTTTAGAGTTCAGCGGATACCAATAATCATCTACAGTTTTTCACACAAAGGAAGGAAAACGATCTAATTATTGTTTGGTTAAACTTATTGGGGCCTTATTGTCCCTAAGAAAAAATCACCCTGCTACCTGCTACATTTCACCTGCTGACTACTCACAGCTACACCGCACAACCCCACTTTCTAAAAAAAAAATATCAAAGCAGCTGTTCAGATCTGATCAATTTAGGATAATTTGTCGTCTTTTTTACATATTGAGCACCTTCTGGACCGAAAACTGTTGCATGATTAAGGCCACACTCAAATCCACCGATGAGTTTTTCCTCGCTTTATTTACAGCTAAAATAACTCACTTTTATGGAGAGTGTAGGGTAGAGGAAGATCCATTGGTGCCCTAACATTGATCATCCCCCTCATGAAACTCGGCTGCATTCTTTTCTCATTTGCAAACAAAAAGTAAATGATCCTGTTACTACCAGGAAACTTTGATCCTCTGGTGCTGAGACAATTTTATTTTATTGTTTGTTTTTATTTTTTTGTGCAGCCAACATCAAGCAAACCAGCACTCAAATGTACAAATGTCGGTTCCAGTCTGTCCTGCTGGAGGTGATTTCGCAAGGTGAGTGCGCGCCCGCGTCTCATGAATGATGATTTCACCGTCAAACGGGCTCAAGGCTGTCTGCAACTGGAGTGATTCACTGATTAACTCTCAAACAGACACGAGGACGCGCAAGCAGCAAAAACCCACACAGAGGATAAAGGAGGTAGCTGAGGGATAGAGAGACTGAGCGATCGACTTATAATTCAGTAGCCTGCGTGAAGCCCTTCTGCCCATACACTCAGCCTCCATCCATACAGTATCTTATTCTCCACGCTGCTTTTCAAATGACCCCATTCATTAAAAAAAGGGGGTTTTCACCAACTTGGATGGCCTACGACTACAAAGACCTCAGAGATTGGTGTGATTTGCATAAAAGAGAAGGAAAAACAGAATAATTTTCAACCCAAGTCCAGGGAGAAGTTTGGTGTTTACCAGCAAACTTTGGGGGGGGGGGGGGAGAAAAAAAAAGA